ATGTCTTTTGTCGGAAGAAGCGCGCAACTTAGCCGAGACCAGAATTCTGTCACTTCGTCAGTCAAGCCAAGTTTATTGCTATATCAAATGCCTCGTTTGTAGCTGTACGACGCACGGCGATAAAAATAACGCATGCAGAACCAACATCCAACTCATCCCTGAATTGAAAAAAGCGACTCATCAGAAAAGAATAAATCAAAACCAGTTTTAGCCTCCAACTGGAACAGCAGTAATATTTCATCGAATTTTAGCGAAAGTATGGCCGCCGGAATAGTTATGGACTGATAGTGAAGTCTACGCTAGCAAAGTCGCCAATGAATCTTTTCGCATAAGCATCAGTGGTACCTTTGCTTGCCGATCTTCTGCGGTTACTCAATCAGAGGATATTCAAGACATATGATCAGTCACACCATTACGCTCATTTTTTTCGTTTTCTCCAATTTAGATCCCTTTGGAAGCGAGTACAGCGGGTTCCAATGGTTCCGATTTTTAAGCCATCCAGGTCTTCTGCTAATCAGCGTAATCTGAATATCAGCGGTACTCGACTGAGCTGTGAATTTATTTCGAACTTGGAATATGTTTTTCACCTCTTTCTGCGTCGGATTTCATGGCATATTGCATTGCCGCTGCCTTCAGTTTTCCAAGTGTTTCTAAACGGGGTGGTAAGATAAAACTCCACAGTAATAAAATATAACTCCCATGTTCTAGGGGGAGCTCTCGATATCGCCGTTGAATATATCACATTAAAAAGTGAAAACGATCCCAGATTAAAACGGCAAAAATGCGCAGTGTAAAGAAAGAAACATGTTTTACTTATTCAACACCAGCAGTACTACTGCACCGCCCCCTAGCTTCTAATGGCCCCCTAGGCGACTAGTGCTGCTAGCATAAAGTGAGAAATAGATTTTCCTTTCTATGCACTGTGCATTTTCGCCGTTTCAAGCTGATATCGTTATTATTTCTTATGTGATAAAACACCATAGTGGTGCACATTTTGCTGGCTAATTCAAAATCTGGCCTATCGTGAGCGTGGTGTAATAATTTTTGTGCACGTGCCATGCTGTCGGTTGTTTTGCGGACGTCTAGAAAAACATCGTTCTGACACGCAGCAAGATTTTGCTCTAGCTAATAAAATTATCAAAGATACATCGTACGATACAGACACGCAAACGCTATGGAGCCATATCTGCGTAAATGACGTCTATCGACAATTAGCACTAAGAAAACGACGTAAAACTCGCCGTTAAATCCGGTTTTGCAGAGATCATGCGTTTATATCAGAATTGCTGTTAGCCTCATGACTTTATGGAATTGGTTTAATGGGTACTTGTGACCCTATGCATTAATTGATGGAACAGGAGTTCAAAAATTAGGCATGTTCATCCGGCTTTTTCTCATTTGCTCGTCATACTACAACGTAAAAAGAGACACACGTTCGATATTTCCTGTTATAGGAAATGTTAACGGACAACATCTTATTTTACAGATTGAGTGTGTGAGCTGAGAAAAAAACGAAACGCGGCTTAGGTTTTTCATATTAACTGCAGATTTCTCTGTCCTCGAACTTCCCACCACTGCTGTGATGTAAAAACCAGAAATTTAATAACTAATAAAGGAAGAAAAGTTGATTCGAGGGGGCCTAAAACTAATTTTTGCTGACATTCTAAACTAATTGGTCTTCCGAACCCCGATACTTCGCTGAATGCATGATTAATTCATCAATTCAAAATGCGACTGTCGCATTTAATGATTGACAAGAACATGGTTGTGAAGATGTCAAAATAATACAAGCAATCCAGGTTCAGAGCAACAGACACAAAAAGTAAAAGAGAAACAATATTGGCTCAATAAACATCACAAATTGTTCGTACTGTGAAATATATCCAATAACGCTAAACATCGTCCGGACTAGGTTTCACGGCGTATTGCACCGACCCCTTGCTCCTAGATGCCTAGGGAGTCATTGAAGCAGGCCTCTGGTTCATGGTGTTTTAACACCACTAGCCAGTTAGAATGCAAGAGGGCGGTGCAATGCGCCGTGAAATCTTGTTTTGAAGAAGTCATTCATTATTTGATGTACTCTAACGTATGAACAACTTATGATGCATCTGCGGAGTACCAGCTCCTGAGACATCTTTCGTGATGAGCGTGAGGTGGCTCTCGCGCATAAAACGATGATGGATGTACGTACGCATGCACGCCTGCTTCCATGGAGCTATGGTCTGGTAAAGTACCCATCACCTTCTCAACTAGAAGCAAGGAGGCGGTGCACTCAACCGTGAAATTTGGTTCTGGATGAGTATTTCGTTGTTTAGTAATAGCTTCAGATGAGTAATATCCATCCCGCAGCACGTGGAATTACATTGGAATCGTTTAGCCTTAGCCGACTAGCGCACCACTCACTCGATTTCATCATACTGCCTAGCCAATGAATGGTTTTAAAGACGCTAGTTAATGCCGTGCAGAACGGCGAATATCACCATTATATTAGAAGCGTAAAGTTTGCGTAAATTTCGCCATTCCCGTCTGTAACGACGCATATTATTTGCAAACATGTTTGAATTTCTCATAGTTACACAGAAGCGTTTTTCTGCAGTTTACTGAAAATTTTATGTTGTTTAAGTCTCATCGTTCGACGACAGATCAAGATACTGACTAAAGCGCTAGCGACGCAGTCACCGGCTCCATGCATTGGCGAACACGCAAATGATAACAAGAACAAATAACGGGATTGTAGACAGGAAAATATTTGTCTGCCTGGTATCGGTTTTGAAAACAAACGACTACTGATGTCGACTCAGCCTATATGTCTAATGTCCGATGAACCTTTGTTTGCAATTGAAGACTATAAGCTTGAAACATCTGGATTAATAATGAAGTTTTGGCCTGATGAAGGCAATGGAACTGATGAAAGTTGCCTGCCAGCAACGCGACC